TAGAGAACAGTCTGGATGTAGAGAACAGTCTGGATGTAGAGAACAGACTGGATGCAGAGAACAGTTGTTTTAGCCTAAAATGCTGCATGGCTTCTGGATCTCAGGACGACTTTATTACTTTTCTGTCTAAACTAGTAAAGCAGAACATGTTTCCTCAGGTTTATATGCAGTAAATAAAGCAAAGCTTTTTACTGCATTAAGTATTTGAAGAATCAATTAACCTTTTAAACCTTTTAAACTGCTTCGCATCTCATTGGTGGAGTAAAAACTGTTGATAATTACAGCTAACTGCTCAGTCATACGTATATTTTAATGATGTGTTTTTCTAAATTCTCTTTCTTTCAGGATGCTGATGATGAAGGATGACCATCAATGTGAGGAAGCGTTTTTACTGACAGACGCCGGCGCTCACAGAAGTTGCTGTGGCCCCAATAAATAGCAGAGCTTTGCTCAGAAGCTCTCTTACTGAAAGAGTTTCAGTATTTTGGTCCCAGATCACACCAACAAGGACTGCCCAAGTCATTCCCAAATACAACAAACAGTTTCCTCTAAAGTTTCTCAATATAACTTTCATTTGTATTTCTGTGTATTTATTATAAAAGAATATATGTTTTCTAAATGTTTTGGTGTCCTTTTGTAAAGCACACATGGGAAGGTTTGTCACTGATCTAGAGCCATGTGACCCTGCAGCCAGATGGGGGCAGACGTGTCCTCTCCTCTGTGTGTGTGGGGGGGGGGTTATGTCTCTGTGAGGAGGTTCCTGTTGGAGGCTGAATTCAGTTCTGCTTCAGCGACGTTCAAACGGTCGGAGCAGAGTTGGAAGGATCAGGCCAGAAGTCATCCACCCTCGTCTGGACTGAGGTAGGATTGTTTTCTCCAGAGCAGAGCAGAGCGTTACACACTAGGTTATAAATAACTTCATGCCAACATTAAACATTTTCTAGTTTGTTTTTTACTTTGCTCTTTCAATCAGCTTATCTTTGAGACATGCTTTTATTTTGGTTTTAGTTTTATTATTGTTAGCTCCAAGCTTCAGTTAGAAAAGGAACTTTTTCATTGTAAAGTCAAAAGTTCAACATATCAGGTGTAGAGTGGGAGCTCAGCTTACTGAGGTGGGGAACATACCACATGTGACACAAGTAGTAAAGTATGTTTTCCCCACAACATATTTCATTTCACCCCCCCCCCCATGCTGTCATATCTGTTCATCAAAGTTCCAGCTGCGTTTTAATCACATAAATATGTCACCTTTTCATATGAAAGGTGGAAGTGAAGCCGAGCAAAAGAGGAATTGCTGAAGTGAAATGAGGCCTCAGTGAATTTCATCAGAGCTTTAGGTTCTGATCTGATGATTTTATCTCTAGGATCTGAAACTCTAAGATCAAATCAAATCTTCAGGATTTGGGAAAACTTCCTTCCTTCCTCCTCCGGTTTACAGCCGCTAAAAAATTCATTTCTGTTTTAGGATGGAAGCAAATCAGAAGCAGAAAAACTCCTGCGGGGTCATCTGCCTGAAATATCTACTTTTCCTCTTTAACATTTGTTTCTGGGTAAGATTGCAAGAGACTGACGTCCATCATCCAACATCCATCCATCCATCATTCATCCATCCATCCATCATCCATCCATCCATCATCC